GATTTACTTTTGTTTCTGCCAGGCACCTGAGGCACTATCATTCTGGGACCATTTTATACTAATTCTTGGTTTGAGTTTTTCTAGCTCTCCTAGGTCTGCTGAATTGGGCTGCATGTGGTGTGAGACCTAACTTGTAGTTATGAGTCTTCAGGAGGTGATTGTTTCCTCTGACACTCATTGCTATTGCCAACATCAAAACAAGCTATTTTCTTGCAATTTTCCATGTGTAGGGATGGGCTGAGTTTTTTTTCTAGTTCTCTTGTATATTGAGAATATAGCCCCTTGGGGGTTCTAAGTTCTGATTAAGGAATATTTGACCTCCTTGGGCAGATTCTAGGTCTTATCTTTTTTCTCTTATGCCCTAAGAGATCATGACAACTGATGGTAAATTTCATTTGTCATCACATGTTCTTGTATCAGTTATTTATTGCCATGATATTGGTGGCATAACACACCATCCCAAAACTCAGTGACTTAAAGTGACAAGCACTTACTACTGATCAAGAGTTTTCAAATTGGCTTGATGATTCTTCCTACTCAGCTGGCTTCACATGTGTCTACAGTCAGCGTGGCCATAAATATTTCTGCTGCTTGTGGCTGGACTCTGTTGTGTGCTTACAGGTCAGCTGCTCTAGGCTGGCCTTCAGTGTTCTTGGTTGGAATGGTTGGGATGACATGGCTCTTTTCTACCTTGTCACTCATTCTTCAGTAGGCTTTCTTAGGCTTGTTCTCATTGTGGAGGCAGGAGACCAAGAGAAAGAGGAGAGATGTGCAAGTCTTTTAGTGACTAGACTTAGAATTGGCACATTGTGACTTCTTCTACGGTTTATATTGGCCAAATCACGTCAGAAATCCCCCCAGATTCCAGGGGAGGGAAAACAAAGTCCACTTTCAATCAGAGAGTTAGTTACAAAGTCAAATGGCAAAGGACATGAATTCAGGGAGAGGTGGAGAATTGGTGCTCTTTTTGCCACTTATCTGTCATAGCCCCCACTTCTAAAGTTGGCTTCAGTTCCCTTCTTTCTTCTTTGGTTCTGCCTTCATTTAGGTTTAAACTGGAGTGATTCTTATTTTTTTTTTTTTGCCAGCACATTGATGTATTTAAGAAGACTTTAAAAAGTCTTATCTATCATTTATCATGTTTTCAGCAGGAGGATCAACCAAGACACTTGGTCTCTGTCATGCTGCTTGATTGACACTTTGGTGAGTTTCTGTCTTTGTACCTCTGCAACTCTCCATCTGAAATTCTCTCTTCCAACCTTTGAGACTCTACTCAAAAGCCTCCTTTATGCTTCTTTGACTGCCTCTCTTCACCTAGACAGAGCTGACTATTGCCTCTAGATTCTAAAAGTATTCTGTGCCCACTTCTGTTAAGTCATAGAATTCCTAATGTAGCAGTCATAAAATACAGAGTCCCTTGTTCAAAAATTATTAAAAATTTGAAGATAATGACAGCAGAGCATTAAAACAAGAGCGTGGTCCTTCTAAGTATGGGGTCCTTTTAAGTAAGAGTTTGACCATAAGTCAAACTCCAGTGAAGCTGGCTCAGATAGTCATTATTGATTAACATCTCCTTTGTCTTTAAGAATCACCAGATGGGTGTTCTTTCTAAGGTAATCCTGTTTGATTAATCATTATATCCCAAGAGGCTAGCAAGGTGCCAGGGATGATCAGTCAATGTTGTTGAAGGAACAAATGAAAACTACATTAGGTTGTCAATTTTATTTTTATTTATTTATTTATTTATTTTATTTATTTATTTTTTTAATATTTATTTTTCAGTATTTGGCGGACACAGCATCTTTGTCTGTATGTGGTGCTGAGGATCGAACCCGGGCCGCACGCATGCCAGGCGAGCGCACTACCACTTGAACCACATCCCCAGCCCAAGATTGTCAATTTTAAAACACAACTCTTTGATAACAGCTTTAAGAGAAAAGTAGAAAAACCATAGCAAATGTCCCATCTATTGTAAGATGCTTTCCAGTTTCAGAATGGTTAACAAAATATACATGTTGGAACTGACAAAGCATGATGGTGTCTTTTAGCATCCTAGATGATGAATTTTTCTCTTTCTTTCTTTCATACTGGCATTTGAACTCAGGGGCACTTTACCACTGAGCCACATCCCCAGCCCTTTTTATTTTTCCTTTTGAGACAAGGTCTTGCTCAGATGCTGAGGCTGGTCTTGAACTTACGGTCCTCCTGCCTCTGCCTCCTGAGTTGTTGGGATTATAGGCATGCACAACCACACCAGGCTAGATGGTGACTTTCTTATACTTCATGGAAAGTAAGATGTTTCTTTCAATTCCAAGGAGTTTCTGGGACTAATTTCCTATCCTATTTTCTCTGACATTTACTCTTTACTGACCGATTCCTGGGCTGGGAACTGTAGCCTTAGCACATGATTCAAGGGACAATGTCCTATATTGTAGGGTAGGATAGTTGAACAAACTGCTAATCTCCCACTAAGATTTCTCAGTTTCCTTTGAGAGAAGGAGTCTCTAAGCTCCTTTATGTAATGTTGCACCTTTCAACATCTCCCTGGGACTTGGCTCCCAGTTCTAACTCTTTAGGGCCTGTGGCTTCTACTTTCTGTACCTCAGTTTGCCGTTTTATACAGGAATAAGAACCAGTGACTCCAAACGGATACGGAGAGAAAGGAGGTGTTATGGGGAGCACTGAATCAGAACAACTCCAGGGTCTCTCTCCAGAGCGATGCTCCGTCTCCCAAGCCTTTCAAACCCATGCCTCAACAGTTCAAGTTTTCAAAACCAGAAAAGGTGGAGGAAGAGGGCTTTAAGGACGCACACGGCCCTCCACCCCAACTTTCACACCCACCCAAGAAAGTCAGAATCCAGAGCCAGCCCCTCCTCCACATCTTCAGCCCCTCCCCCTGCGGCTCCCCCCACGAGGCCCCCTCTCCCCCATTACAGCATCGTTCTGGGCGCCAAGACGGATTCTAGCCAGGGACTGCTGCAGTCAGCTCTCCGCCTCTCCTGGCTCCTGCAGCTTATGTACTGGCTCTGCAGCCACCGGCTGTGCTTCGGACAGTTCCCTTTCCCTCTCCCACCCCGCCCCCGCCATGGCACAGCCCCTGGCTCTGGGCCCAGAGGTGGGCGGGCACAGTGGGTACGGGTGGGGGCCCCAGCAGAGACCGCAGGTATAGCGGGGTTCTCCTTCTACATTGGGGATGCCTCCACTGTGCGGAGTGTAGGTGGGGGACGCCTGTCAGTGGCCCTGAGACCGGGCACAGCGCCTCATCTTGGCAGGGCTGGGGCAGAAGAGGGGGGCTTCCTGAACCAAGCCCAAGTGCTGAAGTCGGGGAGCAGACCTGGAAAACCCGAAGGAGTGTCTCCTAAGGGGACGTGTCAGGATGGGGGCTATGTGTGACATTCAGAGTGTGACTATGCCTCGGTGGGGCAGGAGACCTTGAATGTGAGACTGTGACTGTCTCCCCAACCGCCCGGCTCTGGGCTTAGGTCCCTGTGCCTAAATCGGCTGTGCGTGGCAGTGACACTGTTATGTGCCCGTTTTGGGTCCTCGGTGGACACTGCTCCCGCGGCCCCCAGTGAGCGGGATCTTATTGGCACCCTCGGCTGGGCCTCCCCAGCGCTGTCGCTCAGCTCGGCGGGTGCTCCTCGTGG